CAATCCCTGATGGTCCCAGATTTCCAATTGAGCTTCCATCAAAATTCCTCTTTACCCTATTATTTCCTGAAGGCTTCCACTCCATTATAATTCTCTTTAATTGTGAAGGAACTTGCCACTTATCCCCATGCCCACAATATGTCATCCATGGAGTACTCCTTGAAGGCCTCTATTATAACATCAGGCCTTGTAGCTAACCTCATTTTGTTTTATACTATTAATACAATACCTTACTTAAAAAAAAAAAGGTCTCTGCAATGTTTTTAAGACCAAATCCATATTAATTTTGAAGGCATGGCCGTTCATAATTTTTATAGATTAAGGAGCACTTGACAGGTTAAGAGAATTAAAACAAGTCAAAAACCACTGACCAGGGGACCCTGGCCTACACTGAATTTCATGGTTTAGCTTGGTCTGGTTTCTCAAACATTGGATTTTGAATTACCAACAGAATACAGTTTCCAAGCATTTACTTTTCAAGGGGAAAATCACTTTCTTTAAATCATAAATATGTAAGCAGAGGTGTTTGGGAAGAAAGAGACAACAGGACCTTTGAAAATAAAACCAGGAACACCAAAGATCTTATCTCTCATATTTTTTTATGCAACATTTGGGCTCTTAATTCTTAAGTTTTCAAAGGTATTTCTTTCAATGATCTTCAGAGAAATTTAGCAGATGTCCTCCTGAGAGTGGTTTAACTCATACACTTTGTACTAGGGAGGAGGGACTGATAACTCTAAGCTTCAATGGTAGTGCTCAAGGATCCACAGGTCAAGCAGGAATTGGAGGAGTAATCCGTGTGAGAGGGGGGGACATCTATTGGGCTTTTAGTGGTCCGATTGGGAGATGGCACTACCAAGGCAGAGATCTTAGCTGCTCTCACAGGTCTTCGAGGCTTGCTCATCTGCTGACTGAGGCTAGAGATATTTTGGATTCTCTGAATGTGAAGCTGATCTGGATCCCTAGGGAACTAAACTCCGTAGCTGACAGCTTAGCCAAATCTGGAGTTCATAGAGAATCTCTTAAGGCTTCTGTACTGTACATCTTTTTTTTATCGGTAAAAAAGATTTCATTATAAATTTAGAAAGATTACAGAAATGAGTAGCCTCAGCTACCCCACTAGAAGTTAGAGTTTGCCAACTATCGACTTTTAATTATCCAGCCTCACAACTAAGCCCAGAAACAACGTTCCCTGTTAACCCCCTGTTTTGCTAGCTGATCTGCAAAGCCATTTGCCGCTCTTGGAGTCCACTGTATTAACCAACTGCATGTCTTTGGAAAAGCATTTAAACTTCTTAATTTCATTTCTATAGAGCCAAGGAGTCTGTTCATTTTGTTTTAACCAGCTCATGACCACTTTGGAACTGCCTTCCACAACCAGTTTTCTCACTTCCAACTCCACAGCCTTTTGTATCCCAAAAACCACTGCCTTTAGTTCAGCTGTAGTGGAGTCTCCCCTTCCAATAGGGCCTGAGTGAGAACATCCCCACCACAGCCCCTTTGTCATTTCTTATCACCTCTCCAATTCCAGATATTCCTGGGTTGCCAAAACTACTTCCATCAAAGTTTAATTTGAGGAAACCAAAATCAGGGGGATCCCACTCTCTTAAAACCTTCTTTTTAGTTGATGAAGAGGAAGCTACTGTCCTCCAACTTCTGAAGATATCATCCACAGTAAAATCCGAGAACAATCCCACAGATTTTACCCAAGAAATCACCTTTATCATGATCCCTTCTATCAGCACTTCCTTGCATCTTTGCTTTTCTTCAAAGATTCTCAGATTTCTTTCCTCCCATATCACCCAAAGCACTGCTGCCGAGTGCATCTCCATAGCATTCTACCTCTTCTGTACTGTACATCTTCTCATGTTCCTGTTCTTTAAATAAAATTTTCAGTTAAGTTTTCTAAAAAAATCATAAATATGTAAAGGGAACTAAAAGAACCAAAAAGAAGAAAAAAATTGAGGACTAGTTAAAAAAATAAAATAAAAATAAAGGATACAAAAATTGAAGATATCACTTTGACAGATGGAGTATTATCACCCTTGAATCTCAATATACTTAGGTAACAAAATTGAATCAAGATTCACAAGTAAAATAATTGAAAAATAAATTTGGTCTGAGCTTCAAGAACTTTTTATTCTACCCATTTCCTTTTCCATGCTGAAACATCTCACAAATATTCCCAGAGTTAAAGACGTGCAACTCCAACAAGGTATTATAATGGCCCTGCTCTATTTCCTCCTCTCTCACCTGATGAAGAAGTAGGAGTTCAATTATGAAATCCTCCCAATCAACATTACCTCCTTTTGATTGTTTGCATTGTTGCTTCCTAGCTTCCAAGTCTTCTAGAAGGCAACTATCCTTCTTTTCACCTGAAACAGTGCTGGGAGGTCGCATAATCTCATCAATTCGCAGCTTAGCTGCATCTATCTTTTCTCTCCTCCTTTTGCATGCCAAACTACCAGTAACAAAAGATGGAGGCAAGGCATTAAACCCCACATTCTTCTCCAAAATCTGTTGAAGTGAGAGCTTTTTGCTCAAATCTGATTTTCCACTCCACCATTCCTTACTTTCTCGATCTTCATATCTCCTCCTATTTTTTTGGTAATCCTCACCATTTTCACCTACATTCTTAAAGTAAGAAGATTCTTTTGAGAACTTTGAATAAATGCCTGCCAAGCATTCCTGTGACAGCTTGAGCTTCTCCACATCATCATAACTCAAACATGGAACTCTATTTCTGTCTTCTAGCTCAAAGTACTGAGAATCATTAGTTACATCTTCCAAATTGAACCAGTCAGGTTCTATACTCTTCCTCTTATTGCCTGGCTTCAATCTTGACTTCATCTCCATATATTGAATCACTAAAGGTGCATTTTTTACTATATTCTTAACTGTCACATCTTTTCCCCATGGTAATTTTTGAGCAACCTTTACTAGAGTCTCTTTGAGCTCTTTATGCCTCTTTTTGGATGTGGCGACTGTTGAATGCACCTCCTTTGCTATATCTTCAATTTCAACATCAACTTCATTTAACTCTGCTACAAATTTCAGGATAGCAGAAACCATAGGAAGAGGCCTCCTTCCTGTTGTCAAGAACCATTTAACTGCACACTGCAGAAGAAACCTTCCCTGTTTAACCATTTTATCCATCACATCCTTTGAAAATCTGGAAAAAGTTGGGCAGGTCCTAATTGCCTGTTCGAAAGAGGTCACAATATCAAATTCAGGCAACTTCAAATCAAGAAAATCGACGGCACGAAAGATCATCCGGCCAAGCTCATAAACATCACAACCAATTACTGAGGCAACCTCTGCAATGGAAAGGGGTCTGCTGTTCTTTCTCATCACAACATATGAACAAGCACCAACAAGAACAAGGAACCACTCTCCGCCACCGAACTCTTCATCAGTAATTTGCTGGATCATTCGTTTTACCTCTGCAGAAGTTGCAGCTGAGAACCCTAGTTTTAAAGCAATATCTTCAATAACCTTATCAGCTTCATAGAGCTTCTTCTCTTTATAACTGTATTCACCACTGGCAGAAGCACCAACACGGACAAAGGTGCCCTGGGGGCCATTGATACCTCCAAAACTTGCTTGGAAATTGTCAAGTTCTTGCACAATACCACAATTCCTACAGACCAAGGTGTCGGTGAACTCATCACGTATGACAGTCTTCTTATTGCAGCTCTTGCAGGTACGGGAGTTCTCCATCCCTGTGCAACCAAATTAAAAGGAAGTTAGAGCTCAGGCATTTCTTTGAATTACTTGTGGGGCTAGCAAAAGTAAGATTTTGAAAATATGCAACAATCTCCCTCTACTCATTGTTTGACGATGATGAAAGATAACTGATTGCAACCGAAAAGCTTCCAAAATATCAATAACATTGGAAGAAAAAAAAAAGATAGTGACTAATTATTAATCTCTAAATCGATAGATTGGCAAGCAAACAAAAGAGAGACTGGAGAAATTCTAACCAGTCAGAACATTAACTACATACAAAAATAGGAGAGAAATCATGCAATCTAGTTAATGTTGATGCTAACAAAGATTTGATCTCATGCTTAATATCATAGTCAAGATCAGATTCATCGAACAGGGACCAATTATAAAACGAAAGGAAGCTGCTTGCTCCAATAAGTGTAGATTACACTGGTGAAACATAGCTTTTGTAAAATACCAAGTCCAAGGGCCAAAAGCATTTTTGTATAGTTAAGTGTAGATTACACTGGTGAAACATAGTTTCTCCTTTTCCTCTTTTCCTTTTTTATAGGTGAAGATGTTTTTACTAGGTATAGTAGCGGAGAAGCAAGTTTTTTGGTATAAAGATTAAGTAGTGTTTTAAAAGCCCCATATACAAGGACCTTATGTGAGACCATGTACAGTACAAATTCAGCTCTATACATTAAAAGAATTAAAAATAATTGAATCCCATTGGCCACCATTGATTTATCCATCACATAGAGAAAATATTGGACAACTGATCATCTGAAATCCAGAGGTTCCAATATGACTAGCAGATGCTGTCTGTGTGAGGAGCAAGAAGAGAATGCTACTCACTTATTCATCTCATGCAAGTTTTCAAACTTCTTGTGGAAAGTGTTTACAGCTATGTTTGGGGTCTCAGGCTTTCACACAACTTCAACAGCAGAGATTTTCTCTACTTGGCCCTGGCTGAATGGGAGTAAGAAGGTGAAAATGCTATGGAGGTGTATCCCATTTGCAATTTGCCGGAACATTTGGAAGGTGAGGAACAGGACTTTCAAAGACAAAGCTTGCAGCATGGACAAGATGGTTGTAGCCATGGGCAGATCAGTGATAGATTGGCTGCTGATTCTTCCAGATTTCAATCAACTAGAAAAAGAAGACTTTGGTTTTAGGTTAGGAGAGGTCATGGATTATCAGATATGTAATGTGGAGAATGTTCTCTAATTTGAAATTGGGTCTTTGTACTTGAGTGATGGCTTGTCACCTCCTGTTGTAACTTCTTATTCCCATGTTAGAGTTGGCTCATCTGGTAATGATTATGATATTCTTGCAGAAAGTGTAGGCGGGAGGTTGTTCTTTGCTGCAGAAGCCACAAATAAGCAGTATCCAATCAGCATGCATGGTGCTTTCTTGAGTGGTATAAGAGAAGCTTCACGTATTCTTCATGCCACAAGGAATCAACAAAATAATCTCAGGTTGTATGTGCAAAAGAATGTGGGACCATGTGAAGATGTTCTTACAGATCTATTAAAGAAGCCTGATTTAGCATTTGGGAAGTTTTAATTTATACTTTACCCTTCAACTGAAGGACCTACATTTCCGGGGCTTACGAAAGTTATCATATTGGGAAGTCCAGGAGTGGATTTATTGGCAAATATGAGCGGACACGGGTGTCACGGTCTAACACTGGCTTAGCCTTGCTTACGCTTGGCGGGCTTACGTTGAGAGGCACTATCATAAATTGTGCCAGTATGATTTTTGGAAGAAGTCATGTTTCCTATTGGCAGACCACCAAAAGCTTAACGTACTATTTGAGGAAGGGTGGTCGACCTCTTTGGGTGCCTGACCTTGGCACTCCTAGACCAACTTCCCTTGCGGGGCGGCCTTCGTTAATGGCTAGCATGGCTACCAGGGTTCCTCATGGGCACGCTCATGCTCATGGGGACAGTGCATGGACCAGCACTGCGCCAAGCACACTGAAGGGAGGCTTGGCATGCGGGTCTAGCTCAAGCATGTCCCTTCACCTCGCCAACCCCATGTCTAAGCTAATTGAGCTACCCCGTTGCCCATAGCGCACGAGAGTGTTCCAGCCTAGCAGTTGCCTATCATCCTTGGCATACAAGTGTCCCTCCTCATCGACGCCACATTCGCCTCTCATCATGGCCTTCCCCCTTTGGCACGTAAGTGGCGCCTCCCATGGACTGGTCAAGGCCATAGAGAGCCCCGACCATGAGCCTTGAGGTCATGATCCAGTGCCACTGACCTTGGTGAAGCCATCTCATCGGGCAACGCCTAGCCCTTCAACACACATGAGGCTTGTCCTGGCCTACCTTGGCCTAGACATCGCACGGGTTTCTTCCGTTGCAGAACTACCCCCGTGACATGGGGCTAGGCCATGGGGTGGGTGCAAGACAAAGCGGGGATGCCGTGGGCGAGGTAGGTTCAGGTTGAGTAAGGTGGTCGCGAGCGGTGTAGGCCTGAGCTGGGTGGGTGGGTCCGCGGACTACCACGGGCACAGGGCCAGGTTGTAGAACAGGGTTTTGGAAAAGATATTGACTCCATTCAGTACAATTTTTAATATTTGTAGATCTTTAAAGGAGCAAATGGTAAATGGGGTTTCTAGTAACACAAGAAATGCATTGATGAGAGAAAAACCATGGAAGAATACCCAGTTGTTGAGAATGAAGCTAGTGAATTACGAAATACTTAACATCAGAAAGCATGACTACAAGCTACTCATGTGACATAATATAAAGCCTATACAATTCCATGGAGTTCAGTTTCAGCATAAGGTCCATTATAGCCCATTTCCATATCGACTACAGAGAAAATCACGTACAAACCCGATTAATAACCGAAATCCACCTAATTCAGGTTTAATGTGAAAGAATTCTAGACAAACAAACAAGAATGGAAATCACCCAAAACCAATCTAGGTCGAGAGGAAAACAATTGGCAATCAATAAACAGCTATTTGTGTTTATTTAGCTATTTAAGGCCTAAATCAAACATTTACCTGATGAGATTCTTCAAAGTGATGTGTGGAGCTTTGATTGCAGCGCCAATCAAACTACTTCCCGTTATATAAATTCCCCTAAATTTTAATAGAAATTTGTAAGTATTATAGATTCAGAAACAGATAGGGAAAAACTCCAAAATGATTCCAACACACAAATACCAATAAAGAATATAATGGAGAGAAAAAAATTGATCAAATACCTTAAACGATGCTACTTGCTATTAATGGTTACAGGGCCAACGTTGGTGGTCAACCAAGAAAACGAAAAAAAAAAAAAAACAGTAAGAAATATATAAGAAGAAGAAGGTATCGAACTTACCTTCATTGTTAGCTTCGTGCTTTGTGCGCACGCAGAAGGAGAAGAAATGAAGAAGAAGAAGAGGGGAAGATCTTACCTTCACTGAACCGTAGAGAGATCGATTTTACCTTCCACAATGAGATAGGAGAAAGAGACGAGGGTTCAGTCGAGGGTTCAATCGAATCGAATGAAAAAAAAAAGAGGGAAAATTGCACTTTAGTACCTTAAAATTTGGGGGTAGTGTCAAATTAGTACCCGAACTTTCAAACCTGTCACTGCAATACCTAAATTTTCAAAAAGTGTCAAGTTGGTCCCTATCGTTAACCGACCGTCGGTTATCTATTAAAATGTCAAAACTACCCTTCAAAAGAAGATATTGTTCATTGTCTTCTACCTTGAGATTGAACCACAGAAAAGAACATATAACGTATAAACTAATTAAAACAAAAAAAAAACAAAGAGAATAAGAAGGCAATGACCATTAATTCAGCAATGACCATATATATATATATATAGAGAGAGAGAGAGAGAGAAACAGACAGACAGAGAGAGAGAACTTCATGTGTGGGAGCAAGGTTCCATGGGAAGAAACAGGGGAAGTGTTAGTTTACACGTCATATGTTCTTTTCTGTGGTAAAAGACAATGAACAATGTCTTCTTTTGAAGGGTAGTTTTGACATTTCCAACAGATAACTGACAGTCGATTAATGGCAGGGACCAACTTGACACCTTTTGAAAATTTAGGAACTGCAATCAACATTTGAAAGTTTGGGTACTAATTTGACACTACTCCCAAATTTCAAGGTACTAAAGTGCAATTTTCCCTTTTTTTCCATTCGATTCGATTGAACCCTCGACTAAACCCTCGTCTCTTTCTCCAATCTCCTTGTGGAAGGTAAAATCGATCTCTACTATTAAAAGTGAAAATAAGATTGACCTCTCTTCTTCTTCATTTCTTCCTCTTTTGCGCACAAAGCACGAAGCTAACAGTGAAAGTAAGTTTGATACCTTCTTCTTATCTATTTCTTACTCTGTTTTTTTTTTCGTTTTCTTGGTCGACCACCAATCTCGGCCCTGTAACCATTAATAGAAAGTAGCACCATTTAAGGTATTTGATCAATTTTTTTCCCTATCCGTTTCTGAAACTATAATACTTACAAATTTCTATTAAAATTTAGGGGAATTTATATAACGGGAAGTAGTTTGATTGGCGCTACAATCAAATCTCCACACATCACTTCAAAGAATCTCATCAGGTAAATATTTGAATTTAGGCCTTAAATAGCTAAATAAACACAAATAGCTATTTATTGATTGTCGATTGCTTTCCTCTTGAACTAGATTGGTTTTGGGTGATTTCCATTCTTGTTTGTTTGTCTAGAATTCTTTCACATTAAACCTGAATTAGGTGGATTTCAGTCGTTAATTGTGTCTTTACGTGATTTCCTCTGTAGTCGATATGGAAATGGGTTATAATGAACCTTATGCTGAAACTGAACTCATGGAATTGGATAGGCTTTATATTATGTCACATGAGTAGCTTGTAGTCATGCTTTCTGATGTTAAGTATTTCGTAATCCACTAGCTTCATTCTCAACAACTGGGTATTCTTCCATGGTTTTTCTCTCATCAATGCATTTCTTGTGTTAGTAGAAACCCCATTAACCATTTGCTCCTTTGAAGATCTACAGATATAAAATATTGTACTGAATGGAGTCAATATCTTTTCCAAAATCCTTTACGGAGTTTGTTGGACTTGTGATGCTAACTCAGTAGCAAGTTAAATTTATCATTTAGTGCCTCCAATACTCCACAAAAGTAGATATTAAAGTTTGAATGTGATCCTCAATTCTGTTGGTTTTACCTATTCAGTATCTATGAACAAGGGATCCAAGTCTAGCAAGAAAGAATAGGCTTCTATGTGGTGAATTTTGAAGGACTCTTGGAGTTTTGCAAAATAGGGGCATGAATATTTTTCGTGCTGCAAAATACATATTTTTCCCGGAATGAATCCTGCGGCATCAAATGGTTATCCAAACACCCACGTCTCATTCACTTTACCCATTCTTTTTCAAAATCGATAAGAAATGAAGCTAGTGGCAGTGGAGTTCACATATGCCCTCACAGAATGCGGCCCAAAAATGTCCAACAGTACATCCCATTCGTGTATGAGAACATTTCCCAATGACAAGTACAAGAAATGTTCTAAATGCACATTGAGATGTGCATGTAGGGCGCTTTTGGGGCCCGTTCTATGGGGGGCAAATGTGAACTCATGGCAGCGAAAGGAACATGCCTAAGAACTCACCTGGAGTTGGGATTGGCTTCATTGGATGACCCAAGTGAGGTTGAACTGATGGATCTATTGCTGTTGTGGCCGATCCTCTTCCTGGTCAACCGTAAGACAGACGAGGATTTACGAGACTAAACACTTGCCCATGACAAACTATTTCCCCACTCATGTTGATGTTCTTGAGCCTATATCAGTGTTGCAAACGGGTCAAAACCAATCCGGTTTAGAAAATAGACCCGCCACTGTGACCCCAGCGGCCCAGCCTTCGGCACCCGACGTCCATGGCAGACCCTGGACTACAACCTAGCCCTATGCCCGTGGTAGTCCACGGACCCACCCACCCAGCTCAGGCCTACACCGCTCACGACCACCTTACTCAACCTGAACCTACCTCGCCCGCGGAATCCCCGCTTTGTCTCGCACCCACCCCATGGCCTAGCCCCATGTCACGGGGGTAGTTCTGCAACGGAAGAAACCCGTGCGATGTCTAGGTAGGCCAGAACAAGCCTCATGTGTGTTGAAGGGCTAGGTGTTGCCCGATGAGATGGCTTCACCAAGGTCAGTGGCACTAGATCATGACCTCAAGGCTCATGGTCGGGGCTCTCTATGGCCTTGACCAGTCCATGGGAGGCGCCACTTACGTGCCAAAGGGGGAAGGCCATGATGAGAGGCGAATGTGGCGCCGATGAGGAGGGACACCTGTATGCCAAGGATGATAGGCAACCGCTAGGCCGGAACACTCTCATGCGCTATGGGCAACGGGGTAGCTCAATTAGCTTAGACATGGGGTTGGCGAGGTGAAGGGACATGCTTGAGCTAGACCCGCATGCCAAGCCTCCCTTCAATGTGCGTGGCGCAGTGCCGGTCCATGCACTATCCCCATGAGCGTGAGTGTGCCCATGAGGAACCCTGGTAGCCATGCTAGCAATTAACCAAGGCCGCCCCGCAAGGGAAGTTGATCTAGGAGTGCCAAGGTCAGGCACCCAAGGAGGTCAACCACCCTTCCTCAAATAGTACGTTAAGCTTTTGGTGGTCTGCCAATAGGAAACATGACTTCTCCCAATAATCATACTGGCACAATTTATGATAGTGCCTCTCAACGTAAGCCCGCCAAGCGTAGGCAAGGCTAAGCCTGTGTTAGACTGTGACACCCGTGTCCGCTCAGATTTGGATCCACCTCAATGTTGAACATGATCCAATCTAATAGATATTTAGTCACATATACTTATATCTATATAAGATTAATATGATCTATCAATAAAGCTTTTCTGATTAATGGTGTGCGTCTTCAAAGAATTATACTTGGATCAAAAGAATTATAAGTCCAACTCCCTACGAAATTATCTTTAGGTCATTTTATTAATAATAAATAATATTTTAATTGATTTCTGTATTATTTATGATATTCAATACCCAAAGGTGATCCAAGTCCCATAAATCTGCATTCAAGAAATTTCTGTTCTATACCCAACAAGTAAATACATTTTTTTCCTTAGGCTGTTTCATAATTAACTCGTATAGATACTTGAAATAGGACAATTTAGAACACTTCAGGTAGGGCTGCAAGTCAGGCCGGGTTAGGTCGGGTTGAGACCAACCCTAGCCCAACCCTAGGTTCTAAACCCCCAACCTAACCCTAACTAAATTCCTTCAACCCTAACCCAACCCAAAGTCAACTTTGGGTTGGGCCCAACCCAACCTTCTTCCCTTCCCTTAAAATCTTGTAGAACTTCTTAGTCTTAGATCTTAACTCAACTTTCATTACGTATATTAATCCTATGTTTTATTAGTATTTGTTTGTTGATGTTTTTATTGGTTCTTTAACTACAAAATTCAGAAAAAAAAAAGTGTTTGAAATGACTATAGTTTATTATGATGACTTATAATAGATGTTTTATGGGCAGCAAGCTATGGGTGAAAAACAACAGAGAGGAGATAAAGAATAAAATATTCAGAAAACATAAAATATGTTATCAAGGTTTTAGTATTTCCAATTAAGATTAAGTGAAGGGATTATCTTAAAATGAAATCAATGATATTACGTGGTAGTGGCTATACAACTATTGTGAACGTTGGAAAACCGACTCACTTTGCCATTTGGGCTAGAAATGGAGTCACCACCCATCAGTTTAGGAAATGGAGGTGATGGAACCTCCGAGAATGATTTTCAAAATGGTTCGCTTTAATAGTGACTCCAATAGCCCAAGGCACTGGTCCAACCAGTCGAGGTAAGACTCGGATGGGAGAGGGAAGGGATTAGGCACCCCTCTCCCAAGTCCAATAAGTGAGAGCCACATGGTATACTAACAAGCATAAATAAGTAATTATCTAATTGATTAAAGCATAATCAACAAACTAAACTCCCAGGTCCTTCCCCTTTCCATTCCAAGAAACCGAATTCAGTGATCATTCAATGCGATTCACAAAACTGAACTGAACATTTAGATTAAGCAGCTCAAGAAAACTTAAGGAAATCAGAACGACATTAAACCCAATCCTAAGCATGCGAGCATTTAACAGAAATCCAATCCAGATTCAGAGTTTCTCACTCTTCTATTCACGCAGAACAGAATATGTTGAGCACAAGCATTAGCGGTAGCAATATCAGATAAAAAAATTATAATCAATGAAATGAAATACACGATCAGTAATTCATCGAAACCCATGGTAACAAAGAAATATACCACTGGAGTAGGATTACCAGGGTTGTATGTCGGCCTGAACTCGACGATGGATGAACAGGGGAATCGGCTGAACTGACAGATGCGCGTCACTGAACTTCACTGATTGGGAAAATGGTGATGCCACAGGGACAGGTTGCTTCGAATTTCAGAGGTGGCGCAATTGAGCTATTGTTGCGACCGAAAGATTTGCACTATCGATGTCGGGCTGAGAGCTGTCGTTGCTGTGGTTCGGTTCCAATGATGGACAGTCTGATTTCGAATTCAACGATCAGGGGATTTGATCCAATGGAAGGGAGAAAGAGACGGAAGAGAGATATGAGAAAAAGAGGGAGGGGGCGAAGAGATCCGATTGGATTCGTCACCGCTTCTGGTTCGGTGGTGGGTTCGACGGTGAGAGAGGGGGCGGCAACTGGTTCGGCGCAGAAATAGAAAAAAAAAAACGAATTATAAAAGAAAGAGAGGAGAGGGAGGGAGAGGGGCCGGTGGTGGAATGGGAGATCGCTGGGCTAGAATCCGCCGCTGCGAGCAGTTGCAGGGCAATCTCGTAATGTTGAATTTAGGGCTGTTCATCATAACAAGACCCAAACCGATCAATCCGGTCCGATCCAACCCGAGTTGGCCGGTTTTTCTTCAGCATCGGTCGATTTTGGGTTACAAAAAAACATAAATCGATGGTTTGATTTGGTTTCGGTTTTCATGTGTGAAAACTGAACCCGAACCAACTTAGATATATATTATATTTATAATATATTTCAGATATTATATATATATACATATATATATATATATCAGTTTTAATCCATTAAATCATTTTTAATTTCCAAGCATCCAGCCTTTGCTTTCTTAGACTTGAATCCTTTACCGTTCACACTGAGAGAATCATTCACAAAACTGACTCAAACCGACTAGGTCGGTTTTACTTAGTACTGGGTCGGTTTCAGTTTCATTTCTAGGTAAACCGACCAGGTCGGGTCGGTTGGAAAAACGCCAGTAAACCGACCCAACTCGACCCGTGAACAACCCTAGTTGAATTTACATGGGAAGCAGGGGCAGTCTCGTAATTTTGGGGAATCCAAGGGTTATTTTGATAATTTTTTGTAAGTTGGGCTAAACCAGGTCCAGGGGTTGAACCGGGTTCTTGGTTTAATGATGGGTGGCTCCGGGTCAAAAAAGTAGAAGGATCTTTTTAGGTAGAAGGGTTAATGAGGGTATTTTCGATTGAAATTTTGTAGGATGGGGTTTTCAGAGATTTTGAGTTGATTGGTCAGGTCAGATTGGGCCAACTGGGTCCGAAGCAAGCAGATTTGGAATCTGATCAATTTGAAACCTTGAAATGGAATCTTAGTGTGATTAAAGGGTAACCGGAGGTATTATGGGCTGAGATTTCACAGGTGGGTATTTGGGAGTGTCCGAGATCTAATGATGAGGTCTGATCAGATGGTTGAGGTGTAAGTAGGGGTCGATCGGGGCATCGGATAGGTATCAGGCAAGTTTAACAGTGGATTTGAGGGCTTTTGGGGTGAAATTCGGGTTTTTTGGGTGTTCCGAATGGATTGGAGTGTTCTGATAAGGGATTTGGGGTGAATTGGAGGTTTAGGCAATGGACCAAGCAAAAATTGGATGCTAACAACTATCATGCATCTAAACAAATCAATGTATGATCATATATATCAACTATCATGCCCAAGGGGTCAACCCTAACACTAACCCTAACCCTAACCCTAACCCGAGCATCAACCCGACCCACCCCAACCTGACTTTTTTGGGTTGGGTTAGGGCTAACCCAGCCCAAGTTGCAGCCTTAACTTCAGGCTAGCCCTTGTAATGTAACATTACTAACCTCTTAATCCTCTAGGTTAAATTAGTAATAATTAGACCATGTTTGGGAGTGCTTAAAAATAAGTGCTTATTTGGGTTGGACTACACCATTAAGCACTTATTGGTGTTTGAGAAATAAACCCAAAATAAGTGCTTATTTTAAAAATAAAGGTTTATTTTTTAAGCCCAAATTTCCAGCTTTTTTTAAGTGCCCATACAATAAGCACTTATTCAAATTTTTTTCCCAAAACTGTCCCCAGTACATTTTTAGAATACCAATCATACCCTTTCAATATTGTTACTTTTAGCAACAATATTGTGACTTTTATGAAAGTAAAATACTTTTACGATAACACTTTTATAAAAGTACTTTTATGAAAGTACTTTTACAAAAGCACTTTATGAAAATACTTTTACATAAAAACACTTTTACGAAAGCACTTTAATGAAAGTACTTTTATATGAAAGCACTTTTATAAAAGTACTTTTATGAAAATACTTTTACAAAAATACTTGGAGTTTTATTGTTCGGTCCACCCCTACAAATCTTAGCACCACCGTATAGGTGGGATGAATCCTACCCATGGATCAATATCAAATCCACAGGCAAGATGTGGTTTATAGAGGGGGACTACTAGTAAACTAAGAGGAGGCTTTAATTTCATATTTCTGAGGTGCAGTGCAGTCTACTTATCCCAAAATACTATCAAGAAGGTACACACAAAAAGTACTTTTACAAAAATACTTTTATAAGAGCACTTTTACAAATGTACTTTTATAACAATACTTTTAAGAGCACTTATCCCAAAATACTTTTAAGAAGGAACACACAAAAAGTACTTTTACAAAAATACTTTTATAAGAGCACTTTTACGAAAGTACTTTTATAACAATACTTTTACAAAAGCATTTTTATGAAAGTATTTTTATAAAAGCACTTACAAAAGCACTTTTATATAAGTGCTTTTAAAAAAGCACTTATACAAAAGTTCTTTACGGAAACACTTTATCAAAGTACTTTTACGAAAGCACTTTTACCCATTCACTTTGGATTGGATATTTCGAAAATTTGAAAGAAAATGAAGGACAAAAGAGTCATAAGTGCTTATTGGAGAACACCCAATATAAAATAAGTGCTTATTTGTGAAAATAAGCCATTAAAAAAGCTGGGGCCAAATGCAAATAAGTGCTTATTTCGAATAAGCACTTGTTTTGAAGCATTTATTTTTTAGCATAAGCACTCCCAAACATGGCCTTAGTTACATATTATTGGCTGAAAGTTTAAACTATTTATGTTACAAAATACCCATACGAGTAGGACTCAGTTGTTGCCCATCACAGTGGCCATGATCTAGATTGTCTGGTCCTAATCCAACCACCCAAGTAGAGATTATTATGTGGGTGGTAGGACTTGAATACCTTCATAGAATAGCTTTAGAATTTGGGGGATTTGACATATATAAATTTAAAATTTGAACAGACTCATTTATTTGAAAATAACTGAGTTGTTAATTGAGAGAAAATCAAGAGAATTAAATCCCAACTCTTTAGGTAAGTTATTTAATAGAGGGAGTTTGCCTACAAGAATTAATATGAGAATGGACCCCTTTCCCCTGTGGTGAGAAGTATTCTCTCTATTACCTAACCTCCAACTCATGAGAGTGCTTCCTATCAGCATAATTTTTTTTTTCTTTCTTTCCAGAAAAAGTATACTAGAGGGAATCATTGTGACTCAAGGGGATAGACTAAGTCCTTATAGTCACCAAGTATCTATCTTGGTGGTAGAAGATATTACATTCAAGTGCAAATACCTATATAGATTTAGTGAAGGAGAGTGTGTGGATGTGGTTGTGCTTTATTAATTCCAAAGACTTAAAGGCTAATACGAGAAGGAAATCGACTTCTAGAAGTCAAAAACAATGGTTATGGCAACTAGAGGTATAATTCTTATTTATTTATTTATTGTTGTTTTATTTGGCCAAAACAATCATTATTCTTCAAGATCTAATCTAATCTGATCTGTTTTACCATTTTAATTTATTATTCCATGCTTTTATTTAGATTGTTCAAAACAAGTGGTTGTATGACCGACTTTCAATTTATTGCATAGCAATTCCATTGACTTAGCATGCTATAACCCTTATGAATGATCATTTAGTAAATCTCCCATATTATCCTACATTACCACCATAATACATTAAGTTTGCTATAGCCATCCATTGAACTAAGCTTTTCACATTATTATGATTATTGATATATATCGCACGTACATAATTTTTAAAGCACAATAGCATTATATCCTTCTATGCGACATTGCTTTAGGTTTCTTTATTAAATCAACATTCAATTTCCACAAAAAAAAAAAGAAAAAAAAAGAAAAAACTATCACATTATCTTCAAAGATACGGTTTTAGTTTAGAATATTTTACAAAAACCTAACCATTAGCACAAAACCATGTTTTAAAACAAGATTCTAAAATACAATCACATTATTTAGTTCAAAATTTTCCCAAACAAATAAGTAACATCAATTCCAATTTCCAGGCGTAAAAATACATGCTAGTGTTTTAAAAACCTAACCGGAGGTGGAACCTTTTTGCCTCCAAATCGCGGGTCATCGGTTCAACCGGTTGGTTCAAACGATTCAGATTGTGCCACATCATTGAATGTATGTGAATAAGTATATATATGTGTGTGTATGTGTATATATATATATACATATATATGTGTATAAATATATGTTTTAGCAATAAATAATGTATAAATATGTTTTAGATAATATTATATGTATTATTTTGTATTTGATTTCTTATAAAAGATTATTAAAAATGTAATTTGAGGCCAAATAAGTTTTTTTTTTCACAAAAATAGCGAGGCAAGGCACCTATTGGACGTATATGAAAAGTTACCCAAAATCAAAGAAAAAATCACCCCAATCAGACATTGGAGTGCAAAGTTATGGCCTTGAAAGTTTTACATGCAATGTGTGTGCAACCCGCAACCTAGTCACCGGGTTGAACGGGTCAACGGTTGAACCATTCAAGTTGAACGGTTTTTTATTGTCTGATAGGTCTTGACTAAACCAGACCCGAAATCCTAGTCGGGTGCCTTGCCTCGCTTCCTTTCCCCTTTCTAGTCCCACAACTTGAGCCAATTCCTCGGATTTTGGAGTATAGACCACCATCATACAACTAGTATTGCACTACGAGAAAATTGACTTTTAGCAGCCGTTGTGACTGTCGCTAAAAGATGAACCAACTGCTGCTATAAGTGCCTTTTAGCGATAGTCAAAGATGTCATTAGCGGCAATCATGACTGTCGCTATATATATAACCTATTTTTTTAATTTATTTCTAATTTTCTTAAAATAATATTGATGAAGGGTGATTTGGCCCGACCTCGGAACAGGGGGACACGTGGACGCAACCTGACTAATAGATGACAACTCAGCATGACCAGCCCACAACAGAACAACCTCGGGTACCCAACTACCCCGGGCTAAAGTGACCTCGAGACAAGGTCACCTCGAAACAAGATCACCTCGGTACCAGATCACAACAGGAATACCTCGATGCCAAGGCACTTCGACACTCAGTCCAGTTCCGGACTTAAAGGCGTCAGCTCAGGGATACCGACGTGCCACTGTGAGGATCCCAAAAATCCCTCCACATAACAGCTAGCGTTATCTCCCCCGACCGATTCGGGCAGACTCGATAAACCCTATCGGTAGGGGTGTTCACGGGTCGGGTTGGGTCGGTTT